AAGGAAGGCTTGCTGGGCAAGCAGGTAGAGCAAAGCCAGGTAGCTCAGCAGGAGATACCCAGCCAGGGACTGAGGGAGGTCACTGGTGATAAATGAAGAGGCTGCAGGAAGGGAGGACGACACACAGCAGAGTTTAATCATCTCAGAGCAGCACAGCGCTGTTTCCAAACTTCCCAGTAATAGTCTCGCAGGCCACAGACCCTGTCGCTCGGGGCTAGACAGATTCAGCCGGATGCTGCCTGAAGGGAAAACAAGGAGAATTTAGCCTGACCTGGCTCTGGATCATGGCACAGAAGGCAGCTCCAGGCTGGGAAAGGACAAGGATGCCAAGTCTTCAGCTGCATCACCCTTTGCCAAAGATGCAGAGCCCACTGGAGGAGGTCCCACCCCGTAGTCCAGCTTTATCCAGACCAATGGAGCCATACTGCCTATGGGGGGTGGGGCAGGCAGACTCTCTAAGATGCTGTATTTTAGAGACCTGGGTTACAGAATGGGTTGTGTGTACAGTGTACCTCCCATGGATCAGGCCCTTTGGAAACTACAGTCATTTGTTTTAGTACCACCTTCAGAGCTGGACTTCAAAACACACCAGCCAGGACCCACGAGGGACACCAGTCCAGCAGAGAGTGCAAGCCAGGGAGGCTAGTGGGACAGGCACCAAGCGTGACCACTGATCTCCTGTGTGCACTGAGAGTGCTTCCCACTCACAAAACCGACATCCTAGCACAAGGCAGCTAACACTAAAATTAATTACCCCCTCTTCTTCCACTACACTCTTCTCCTTCTCTTCCATCTCTGCTTCTGTCTCTTCTTCCTCATTCTCCAGTCCCTCACAAGGTGCCTCATATTCTTCATGATCTTTCACTGGAAAGACGTGAGAATTGCAAAGTGACAGTCAATAGGAGCTACTGCTGATGGACGCTGAGTAGCTGGCAGGGGCTTTGCATGGGTAAGTGTCACCAGGACGTTGGCAAGATGCAGAGGGTTACCAATGGTGCGCATAGGAGATACTGCAAGGGGGAAAGGAGGGGTGTTGACTGAGGTGCATGCAGTGCAGAGAACACCACCCACATTCCCAAAGACATGGACAAAGGATCGTGCACCAGGAAAACATCCTTTTCCTCATGGCTGGTGGGGTTGCAACCTGGCTGCAACTAGGCCTGGAACAGATAACCCCTCTAACCTAGAAATGCAGCAGCAAAGGAAAAGGGAGAAGGAAGAAGAGATGAAGTTCTGCATAGACCACCGCACCTCCATAGCATCCTCTAGGTTCATATCGCCAACTCAGCAGCCATGGTCAGAGACAGAGGGACTTGCTTAAAGCCACACAGCAAATAGTATCAGAGAGGTTCTGGCTCCTAGTTGTGCGATTAACCCCTTGGTAACGCACCCACCACTGGCGCAGTGCTGTCACAGCAGCCCATGGCAAGGATCAGAGTCTTACTTACAAATGACATGTTGTCCGTGGAGATAGACTGGCCCCGTTCCAGATTTTAACACAAAATCCACAGGAGGGGTAAATTCAAAGCCGTCCAGAGTGGCCTGAAACAAGGCAGGGATGTTACATGGAGCCCCTGGGAGCAAAACAACATACTGGTAACACGCACCAGGGAAAGCTGCTGCTTCAAGAACAACTCAGCACGCAGGCAAGCTACAGGAAAGGCAGCAGGGAAATATGACTGCCTCACCCGCTGTCTGCACTGCCCCCCTGGCAGGCTGTATTTGGCAGTGACCTCTGTGCCATGCAGTGGGCAATAGCCTGCTATCCAGACAATGGGGACGCAGCTCCCCTGCTGGTCCCAGGGCCACACAAGCATGTTGTAGTTGCCTCCTTCCAGCTGCCCAGTGGGGAGGGATGGTGGTGAAGGAGGCTGTGTTAACTTAATGTCTTTATGCTGCTCTGTGTTACCATGGGGAGAACGGAGAGCTTCAGCGATGCGATGGGCATTGGCGTGTTGTCACCATAGGTGTTTTTTGCTGCTACAGCCACCACGTTAAGCTCGTCTTTGGCCTCTGCCCCGAGACAGATCTGTGGAACAAGCATGTCATTGGCACCGGGCTGTGCTAGCAAAGGAACAAATCTCATGCAGCGAGCCAGTGCCCCGGAGAAGAGCCAGGCCCCTGCTACCAACAGTCAGCTTGCAAAAGGCTGCCCTGACGCTTCCATGCATTGGAGAAATTCCCTTCTGCCAAACCAGTCTATACCCGTGCAGCGTCTGATGCAGTCCCTGAGCATTGGTAGGCAATATCAAGGCAGGGTGAGGATGCCAGAGCAGCAGTGCTGTGGGGGAGTTTCTGCATGGGCAGTGGGAAGAACTTAGACATACCCATACCCATCAGCGGGGCTCCCCAGAAAACCCTGAATCTTACTGTTTTCAGTGAGACCAGGTGCTCCAAGAAGTCATCCTCTTCCTTCACGATATATTTCCTGGTGCTGGCATTCAGCTCACAGCCTAGAGAAACACAGCTGAGCACGTGGGGATGTTCTTGCCCTAAGCAAACCCATGCCACATATAGAGGAAAACTACAGTGTCTTGTGCAAAGCCAGTTTTTTTGCAAGTTTGTGTATTGGAAACACTTAAACTTCTCATTCCCACAGGCAGTTCTAGCCCAAAGACATCTTGATACAAAAAATTGCCAAGCGAAAGCTTGATACCATACTTAGTTGAATACAAGACAAGGCATGAGTGGGAAAGCCCCTCATCTTGCATTCACTTACAAGGAAACCTCATTAAATACACTAGCTATCATCAAACTGCTGCCAAAAAGCAGCATGTGCTCAGTAATGGAAACCAACTATGAAATTGGTTAAACGCACCCAACACTCACTTGACTATAAAACACATGACCCATATTGGGCAAACATGCTGATAACAACCTACCACAAGATTTTTTTTTTTTTTTAATTCCACGTTTCAGGCCAAATTAGTCAAATTGTTTCCAAATTCTATCAGCTGAGCAGAGTTCAGTTGTTCAAGTCTGTGTGGCGCTACTACTGGCAAGCATCCTACCTCCCAGACTCTTACCACAAAAATAAACTAATGCTCTATCAAGCAAGACTAGGGACATCTGAACCCCAAGGCCTCCAGACCCAAGGCTTGCATGTTGGATGCCTGCCTGGATTTGGGGAGTACCTAAAACCCCCAGACTGATCGGCCTGGGAGGAGGATACTTGCCCGGTGGCAGAGCTGCACAGGCTTGACAACTGAGCTCTGCTCAGTCAAATTTTGGAACTTGATTATTGTGCTTTGCCCAACCGAATTTGGAAGAGATTTGGCCGTGAACAAGATATACAGATATAGATGGCTATCCAAGCGCTGCTTTAAAGTATGCATATGAAGTACCTGTGCTAAAAACTCGTAACAGTTTCATAAAAAGGTAATGCATGAATTCTGGATGAACTGAGCATATGGGCATTATATGCAGATTACTATGGCTACATTTAAATTTCAAGGTTATTGTTTTCAAATCTGCTTTATTTTCTCTGCTGTAGCAGTGGGAGGGAGACAAATTCAAGGCAAATCTCCAATAATTAGCTTGTCTACCTGGAAAAGTATAACACACTTATAAATTCCCCATAGATAAAATCTAATTACTTTGGGGAAGGGATCATCTTATAGTTGACATTATATGGGTCATCTTATATTTGAGTAAATAGCTGCTCAGAAAGTGGATTTTACAACCAATGAAAAGTTTCAAGATTTCGGGGATTTTCTATCCTTACTCAGGGAAAAGCCAACATTTTGAAGCTTTCTGTGAAATGAAATTCCACAGGGGGGAAAAAAAAAATGTAGGCTTTTTTTTTTTTTTTTAAAACAAGCAAAAGGCATTTTTCTGATCAATTCAAAAAACTAAACAAGCATATGTTTCCATTCCAGCTACTTTCCTATTTCTGAAATTTTAAAGCACATTCAATTCTGAAACCAAATGAAGCAGTGCTTTCCATCCTGAAAACACCGGCATGGTAAAACAAGTGTCCCATGGTTTTCTCAAAACCATTTTTTAAAGAAAATCAACAGCATTTCCCAAAAAACAGTTTGGCTTCATGCAAATGGCATTCTCCAAAAGAAAAGTTTCTACCAGTGGCAAAAACACAACTTGGTGGCTTTGTTGCTTTGCTTCCTTCATTTCATTGATCCCAAGCCAAAGGAAACATGGATGATTTAAGACTGGATTTGAAGAGCTAGAGTGGGGCTGGAGGCACTAGCCTTATCTGGGAAGAAAAGAGCTTCAAATACTGCTACATAGCAGCTATGAGCAGAGCTGCCAAAGGGTCTGGAGCCAAGCTCGCAGGGGACTCATATGCCCGAGTTCAGCCCCACGAATGCGTGGCCAGTGAGAGGTAGTGGGCCAATATTGTATGCTGCTTGGGACCTTTCAAAAGGGAAAGCTTTGCTAACTTCTGGCATCAGGATTGCACATGCTACCCTCAAGGGGATAATAACCACTTTTCTCCCCCTTGTCAGCTGCCCATGACGAAGTAACCTTACCCCACAAGACAACCACAGGTTTTTCCTCATCAGACAGCAAGCTGGGAAGCAGGAGAGGAGAATTCATGGTGCTCTGTAGCGGCAGCCTACGGGGAGTTACAGCTCCTAGGGGAACAAACACAGCAGAGGAAGCAATGCGCACCTTGCTTCTTACCAAAGAACAGAAAAGTAAGTGAGCAATTTACTAATCCTTCTGGTTTTTTTCACTAAAATCATACAGCCAGCAAGGAGCAGCGAGGAGACTCCTCCATGCTCAGTGTCATGTTCGAAGAGCAGTTTGCTCTCTGTAACATAGATGCCATCGGTGTAAGATGTTATGCCTACCCAAATAGCAGAGTAGTTTAATATTATGTTTTTATAATGGGCAGGATATAGTTTACCAAGCCCCACACCACCGTCAGGGCAGGCAACACGCTCACTCTGCCTCAACTTGAAAAGTTTTGCAAACTTGAACATGGAAAAAAAACTGGAGAGTAAAGACAGGGAAGAGAATAGCTGCAGCGAGGAGGACGAAAGCTACTGCGAGGTGGTAATTTGGTTAACATGGGAGTCACATGAACTGCCCAGAACCTACCAACATTTCTGAAGCCTGCAGGACAGTAGCTAGCCCTTCAACTGTGCAGGCATCGGCCAGGCAAGCTGCACTGCTCCAGCTGGGAAGCGGCACTGTGCAGCTTAGCAGCTCTGACAGCAAGCGCTCGGGGAAAGCTAAAGAACAACCGAGTGCGGCACATACAGACCCACGTGGCTTTCTTCCCCTTTCAGTTAAAAAAAAAATAAATAAATAAAATCAATGCAGCAGGGAAAATCCTCTCCCACACTCTGGCAAGAGGCTTCGTCCTATGCCAGTTACCAAGCAGAGGGGAGCAGTGCAAGCTAGAAGTACAGGTGCCAGGGACACCCACGCTCTGCACGGGCATCTGACTCTGGAGGAGACGAACCACGCATCACTTACCAGCGTTCCCCTCTGTTGTGCACTCTCAGCACGGCAAGGGGTCTTAGAACTAGCAAACCTATAGCCGGGACCACAAATACAAAGGGCCACTTGAATCAAGCCTATTTTCTCTAGAAACAGAGGCCCTGATCCTGCAAACACTTTTGCATGTGCTTAACCACTTCCCTGGAAACCAAATGACCTACTTGCGGCATCAAGTTAAACACCAACATAGGCATTTGCAGAGATAAAAGGGCCCAACTCAGAGAGCATTGGAGACAATTACATTCTTTCCATTCCCTTCTTTGGGTTTGGGCTCAGGTCCTAATAGCAGCAAGTTTCAAATGTACCGAGAACATCCCTGGTATAATAAACCAAGCTGACATGCGCTGCAGGATAATTAATTTCACCTCTGTCCCGCAGGAGATTCCCCAGTCCTAATTCTTCCCTTGGGATGCCAGAAACCTCAATGGAGTATGTTCAATCCTTGGGAAGTTGCCAAGAAGCATTGCTGCTGCCACAGACACAAGACCAGAGCCTCAGCTGGTGTTGACTGGGCTCTCACCATTGGCCCCAGCTCAGCTATGCTGTCTGCAAGTCACACCCTTTGAGAGCTGCTTTGTACTTTCCAAAGCTCATGAGAGTTTATTTGTGCTTCAGGATAAGTTATTGGCAACTGCTTCTAGGGGAGTCCGTGGAGTAGCTTATAAATAAATAGCAGAAACAGCAGAACCATTAAAGCAACTAACAGAATCAGCCAGAGATTCTGCAGTTCCAGTATAAATACAATGGAAACATTTGCCCAGATTTTACTTTTGCTTGTTCGGCCATTTCAATCAGGCACAGTAACAAAAGCAAAGCCTGCCGAAAGAGAGACCCTGGGAACGGTACAACCCCTCAGCTCTCATACTGAAACCAAAACCCACTCTGCTTCCAAAGTAACAAGCTGCTAGTTTTGTACTCACACCCACCAGTCCCAACCAGTGAAATTCTTCCCCTACAACACAGAGTGGCACTACCAGCCACTTTATGGATGCCTGAAAAGCTTTCCAGCTGCCAGCACTCAGTTTGGGAAATGCAGCTCCATGAAAGGTAGCATCAGCAACTGGGGGAATGATAAAAGACCAGTCAGGACCAGCTGCTGCCTCCCAAAGACCTACCAGGAACAATAGGCTGAAGGGCCTCCCTGCTCCCTGACTCTTAAGCACAGGGAAGGAGAAAGCCACCTCCTATATTTCTTAATTTCTATTAGCTGTGTATGACAAGGGGCCCTGCTCAATTGGTTTATTGTTTTCCCCCCAACAGTGTGATCTCCTTCCCCTCTCCCCACCTTTGAACTCACAATTCAGCTCTCCCCAGTTTGGTTTCTCAAGGCTGCAGGGTTTTTGGCAGATTATTCTAAGGTACTTCTTTCATCTGACCTCAGGGAAGAAAAGAACCCCTTTGACTTCCACATGCAGCGGCCAGCATTTCTTCTACCTATTCTGGGAATTTTCCTAAGCAACCCTTTGTTTGTGGTGTTGCTGTGTGAAAGTCATAATGCCTACTTTTCCTTCCTCCCTTCCCCATTCAGAGTGGTTTATGGCACCTGCACTAGGTGCAGAGCAGAAGTTTAATTATTTGCAAAAATCTTAAGTGGTGATGGAAAATCATAGAGGGGGGTCCCCACTCAGCAGAGCCTCATGCATCATCAGGGCACTGCTGTCTGTGCTTGGGGTTAAAGTACTGTGCTTTAGTGCAGAGCAGGGACCGCCTCAGGACTCTTGTACCAGCAACCTTCCAGCAGTCACAGCCCCTTTTTTATGTATGTACCTGGAGCTTGAAATGACTCCTGCCCCGACAGGGGCCGACTGCCCTAATGGATTAATTCCATCAGCCAACACTGACTTCCTCTTTAATGTGGAGCGACTGGAGGTTTAGGACCTTCCTAACCATTAGAGCAGTAGGGCAGTAGAAGAAGCTGCCAGGGGAGGTTGTGGAATCTCCTTCCTTGGAGACTTTCAAGAAGAGGCTGGATAAGCATTTTTCTGGGATGGTTTAGGATCAACAAATCCTGCACTTCTGCAGGGGGCTGGACTTGATGCCCCTCCAGGTCCTTTTCAACCTTGTGATTCTGTAATCTGCAAACAGTATAAATGAGTTGGGTGCTCAATCCCCTTTGAAAGTCACCATAAGTTCAATGCTCAAGTGCCTTTTCTAATATCATCCTTTTAAGGCCCTACAGGTGGAACTTACAGCACAGGGCAATGATAGGTGATTAAACAGATGGGAAGAAGAAGATGACTATCAGGGAAGCTGCCTTAAGGGGCAGAAATACGGTCAATTCAGGGGAGTCTAACAACAGAAGCTGCATCATTCCTGACCCAGAGACTGCTCCAGAGCAAGCTTCAGGAAGAACCACGCTTAGCTGTCCCTGTTTGAAAGATGACATGACTACATACTTTAAGGTGTTTGTATTTTTTTTTTTTTCTTACAACAGTCAGGCATTTGGAAGGCTTATTTCTGGCGCACACACAAAAAAAAGTCAATGTCTCCAATATATTTACAACCAGAAACATCTCAGGGAAAGTCATCACAAGTAAGCTCGGCATATGCACACACTCATAAATACAAACACCTGTTGGTACACAATGTGGCCTATTTACAGTGCTCCGTGCTGCTGAGCTATTGTACAGCCGAACATCCCAGGGCTGGATTTTCATTTCTACCCCTCATCCCGTGTCAAGGAGCTCTAAGTTAAGAGCTGGCACCCACTTCGAGATGCAAGCTTTATATGGCTGGAGGAACATGCCACATGAGCATCAGCTGCCTGCAGCTCCAAGGAGCTGTCCAGCCTGAGGTTTCAGCAGGTATTCACAGCGAGGTATATGGATGATATCGAGTCACAGAGATCTGCAGCCATCCTTTGCGGGTCCACCTGAAGAGTCAGCACCAGCTCCCACTGAACTGGCTCAGAGTTGCAGGCGCTCAGAGCCTCTGTAGATCAGCTCCTTAGGGCCATATTTTTTACAGGTGGTTGAGTGCAGAGATGCAGGCAGGTGCTTGGGGGGGATTTTCTAAAACACCAAGCTGCCCATCTCCAGTAGTGCCTCAGCAGGTTGGAAAACCCTGCCAGGAACCTAAACCCCTTTGAAACCTAGCTTGGAGCATCTGCCTGCCTCAGTTCAGAAGCAAAGAGCAGCAACAGGTGCCCTCTGGTACAAGATGCTTAGCCCCTGGCACAATCCGGCCCCGAGTGTGCAGAACATGACACAGTTGCCATTTTATAATGGGCTTTTTTTTCAGGTGGAATGGATATTCCTCAATGCCAGCTATTTGTGCTGCCGACGCAGGCAGTGATTTAGGCAATGAAATTAAAGTGAAGATCACAGAAAGGTCCCTTGCTTATCTGAGGCCTTTTATCCCTTCAGCTTGGGCTCCAGCAAGAGGTCCAGCTGTATTCAGTGCACTCCCCCTCACCATTACCACCCAGGACAATCCCAGAGTCTCCCAAGTCCTATTACATTCTGTGTAAAACCCTGATGCTTTGAGGCCAGCAGATGCATGCTATGGAAATAGTAGCTCAGCAGCCTGGGCCCTGCCTGGCACTTTGTGTAACCATTTACACCCATGCAGTTGGTTTTGGTTGCATTTTACAGCCACTTTGGGCAGGTGTACAGAATCAACTTGTCCTGCAAACCCAGCGCTTACAGTGCCACAGAGGTTAAGACTCCATCCCAGAGAACAGAAACCTCTGGCCCCCACATTCAGGCTCCAGCTGCATACTGATGTCCCGCTTCTGAGGTAGTAATTTCTCTTGCAATCCATACAGGAGACACTTTCAGACCTTCTTCCCTTGCAGGCTCTTTGGAGAGCACGCATGCTGTTCACATTGATTTTGGTCAGTTCTTGATCGGACCAGTATCCTGAGAAGTACTGGCATTCATCTCCCAGCCTTGGAGAGGGAGGTCTCTCTGATACCAAGTCCAGCTTCACATCATGAGAAGTTCTGGAGCTGTATCCAGAACTGGATCCAAACCTCCATTGCCAGAGACGTCAGAGTATGACTAAATCCCCTGGGCTCAGCCCTCTTGGGCTCTGGTGTAATCCCAAGCAATCGGGCTGAAAAAAAAAAAAAAAAGCCTTCATTGCAGCAAAGCACCATCTCTTTCTTATGCACTGGAAAGATGCCACCTACACGCAACACATCTCTCTAAGGTACAATTTCCTCTGCGTAATGTCTAACCTTGGGGAAATTGCCACAAAATTAAGGTATCTGCCTTTCAAAATACCCAAGTCAACACCAAAAGTACAATGAATATCTGCCTATAGGTCTCATTTCTCTTTTCAGGTGGACAGAGTTGGTACATGAACCAAGAGTAATAGTCCTCCACGGAAGGCTTGGCCACGTTCCTGAAAGAACGGAGAAGAACAGACTGTCAATGCGAGAGGAATAAGAGTCATCTAGAATCACAATCACTATGAAAAATGTCAGCGTCTTGGGTCCCCATCACAAAAAAAGTGATTAAACATGTATTTAGGGTCATTCAAAACCTGTGCTTAATCCCACTGGAGGCAAAAAGAAAAAGAAAGAAGCATCCTGTGGGAGCAACTTACCTCAAGCTTCTTAACAACAGGCTGTGCAATACAGCAATCAACAGGACTACTCACAGGCTTGGAGTTAAGAACGTGCCCAAGTGCTCTGCTGGATCAGGGTCCATGCCCCCCACGGGAAGATGGAGAGCAGGACCACTCCAACGAGAGATGGCAGTTTGCAGCTGATGTTACAACGTGATGGGCACCCAAACCCCAACCAGGTAACACCTCAGGGCAGAGGTTCATTTTTCTAGGGCAAGCTCATGGGATCAGCCTCTTCCCGAGAGGGCCTCGGTACTTCCCAGTTCAGATGAGCTTGAGAAACTGAGATTCTGGTGATGTTTCTGAACCTCTGCTCCCAATCCAGGCCCACGCCAGGAGGACGAGGGGCAGTGCAACCAAACCAAAGTAGCAAAGTGACTGCAACTCTTAAGGAAAATTTCTATTCCAGGTCAATTTGCAGACAGAGATTTCAAGCAGTTCATATTCAAACTAAGGGAATCAATGCAGATGGGAGGGGAAAAAATAAGGAATACCCTCTCTTCCATCAGCTAATAATGCTGACGTTGGGCTAACCTATCTTTTCAGGTGTACAAGTATTTGGCATTGGTGTTTTCCCCAGCTTTCACCTGGAATACAAGCAGAAAGGCCAGGGATCTCCTGAGAAGATTTATTCCAAAGCCTGGTTCACAGTCCCAGGAGGTATGAAGCAGCATCTGCTTGCCACTATCTGAAACCCCGAAGTGAACTGCAAATAATTCACCCGCCACTGGTCTTCGCTTTATGCACACTGGTTTGCAGTAATCATCACTTCTTCAGTATTCTCCATCTCAAAGGATCTCAAAGCACTTGGCCCTTCCCTACTCTATTTTTCCCTGTGATTTTTTATGGACCAGGCATGAATATCTGTACTAAAAAAAAGCAGTGACCCTGTATACAAATGATACCTCACTAAAGATAAACAATTTATAACAGAAATCCTTGGTATAAATTATTTTTAGAAATGCCAAATTCCACACACTACATCTAAGAAAGGGACCAGAGCTCAGAAAAGCTTAGCACATCGGGTGGCCGGATGGGAGCTGAAAGGTTTAGAAAACCGGGCTCTTTTGAAAACCCTGGCCCCAAATCTGGGTGCTGTGATCTGGCTCTCAGCATTTTTTTAACATCTGGGGCCTGCAGCAGTGGGAATATCAATGTTGCCAAGTGACTAAAAAATATATCCACTCACGCGCTTCTTTTTCCTTCCCTTGTAGTCAGGCTCCAGGACCTTCTGTGGCTTCTTTGCTGGTAAACCTGGAAAAAGGCAGTCAATCAATCACCAGGATCATTTCCTGAGCAATAATCAGGATAAACAGGTCGCTGCCATCACTTCCTTTAGCCTGTTGATATCGGTCAGATCAAGTAGGATTCAGAAGGTGCAAAAGCCCCTGGGCTGAACTTGCAGTCTCTACGTGGAAATCAGCTTCCAAGATAGATAGAGCTGAGGGGGCACACCTCGCCAGACCAGCCCAAGGCATGGATCCAATAGATGGCACCAGAACAAAAGCAAGAGCTCCAAAGACAGAGCCAAAGCTGCTGAGCAGAGCAACCCCAGAAGCAGCCCCGTCGTCGGAGATGGAACGGCGAGGTCTGCCGGGAATCCAACCCGCCGCTGTGCAGACCACAAGCACCGCGAGCAGGGGGAGCCCATGGGAGCAGTGCCAGGCTCTCGAGGCACCGTGCGGTGCCTTCAGGAACCCCGTCAGACACCTGCCTGTGCCCTGATGGCCCAGTCCCCTTCCCAACACCGGAGGGGCTCTGGCTGGAGGCACTGGGGGTTTCCCCGCACAGAGTAGCTGTGGTGCTATGAGCCCCAACGTGGCAGGAGGCAAAGGGAGCCCCCTGCACCGCAGCACAGAGGCCGTGCCCCCCCTCCCCAGTACCCCCCAGCTACTTACTGTTGCAGGGCCGGGCAGAGCGTTGTGCAGGTGCCCTGCAGCAATGCGTCAGTGAGCGGTCGTGGGGCCAAGCCATTGCCGTGCCCGTTGCTGCAGGCCAGGCCTGCTCCATCCGCGCCACTGTTGGAGCGGCTGGGGGCGGGGGGGGCGGCCCCCGCCCCC